TCCTTATTGTCAATTAAATCTCGGGCATTTAATGTAATTTTGACACGACATTTATGAAACCTTATTTTTTTTTGTAATTAATTCTGAACAAATCTTATGCATTTATTCTTGGATCATGCAAATCTTTTTTTTTTTAATTAATTCCGAACAAATCTTATGCATTTATTCTTGGATCATGCAAATCTTTTTTTCACCCTAATTTACTTATTTGGAGAATTTAATTTTCAGATTTTTTTTGTGTGGATTCGTTTGTTAAGTAATAAATTAATCTATATTAGATTCAAAATTAAAAAAAAAATGCTAAGGGTTGAAAGAAGAGATTGGTGGATAAATTTACTTAAAATAAACAAGGATATTTTGGTAATTTTACAAAGACAAAAAGTGGGAAGGGATCGCAAATTAGAAGGGGTCACAAATTAATTTTTTTTTTTAAAATGGGTCAAAAATCTAGATGAGTTATATAATGGGACTAGAAACCTCAATTTCTCGAAAATAAAGGATTAACTTATATGAATGAATGAAATAAATTATGTATTAATACTATTAATTAAATAACTGAAATAAACATAACTAATTATTTAATCGTAATAAATTAAGAATAATTAATTGATTGATTAAAAATATATTTACTTCATGTTTGTTGATAAAAATATTATTAATGAATTAATAATATACAAAATATATTTAATTAATCAATTTTAATTTGTTAAATGAATTTATTATAAGAATTCATTTTTCAATAATTATAATTAATAGTTCAATTAAAATTCATTGATTATATAATGAATGAATTTATATTTATTTCTTTTAATTAATTTTGGACAATTAATTAATAAAATGTATCAGAATTATATAATATTTCTTTCTTTATAACTAATTCCATTAGAAAGTTCAGAGCTTAACTCAAGCCATGTGTTTCTGACCAACAAGTTATGAGTTAGAATCTTCCACCCTTATTTGTGGTATTAAAAAAGTTCCATTTAAAAAGATAATCTTTGAGACTACCACTACAAATTTGGCAACTCTTTATTACTTAATAAATA